GGTGTTGATGCCAATATCCTAATTTTCTCCACATTTACTTACAATCTCATATTTTTTGAGGCATTTGACAAGGTGATATATATTTCTTCTAACTTGCGTGTTGTGCGGGCAACTACGTCAACAACATCTGCACATGCTAAAATTTGGGATGATGTATTAAAAATGTATTCTGTGTTGTCTAGTTGGGCATCCTTGACTGCCTTTTCCAGAGCTATGTTGAAAAGAAGACACGCCAGCGCATCTCCCTGTCGCACCCCAACTGCGTTTTAAATGCCTGTGATTGTTCAGCCTGTATTTCGACTTTGCAAACAACATTAGACATTGTAGCCTTAACCAATCTTATAAGTTTATCGGGGATGCGGAATTCATCCATGGCTTCGTACAATTTATTTCTTAGAACACTATCATAGGCTGATTTAAAATCTACGAAAGGATAGTATGTGTAATTTAAATTCATTGGTTTTTTTCAGTATTTACCTTAGCACAAAGATCTGGTCTGTTGTTGATCGACCATGCTTAAAACCACTTTGATATTCGCCAAGAAGCTTCTCTGAATATGCACTCAGGCGACAATATAAAATACTCGAAAATATTTTGTATCCTGTATTAAGGAGGGTTATTCCCCAATAGTTTCTACATTTTAATTAATCACTCTTTTTGTGTAGCGATCAAACGATCCCAATACACCACTCTTCCGGGATTTGTTTCTCATTCCAGGCTCTCAGTATGATTTTATATATATGATTACTCAAAGTAGCACTTCCACATTTAATGTTTAAGTTCCGCAGATATACCGTCACTTCCTGGAGATTATTTTTTAGTTGTTTTATTGCATCCCGTACTTCTTGAATTGATGGAGGATCCAATGGTGTATTGTTGCTTACCCCTCGGGGTGGTTGATTTGGATCTTCTACTTCGATAGTAAGTAGTTCTTTATAGTATTCCACCCACCTTTTCAATACTTCTTCTTTTGTATTGATTATATGCCTCTCCTTATCCTTACATAGTCCGATCCGTGGTTTAAATTCTTTTCTTGCATTATTTAGATTTTTATAGAATTTTCTTGTTTGATTTTCCTTTTTTAATGCCTCAAGTTCTTCTAATATTCTATTTTCATAAGTTTGCTCTTATCTATGATGGATGTACTTCTCTTCCCTTCTGAGATCTTTATATTTTTGTTCTTTTTCTCGGGTTCTTCTTCGCTGCATCAGTTTATATGCATTGTTCTTTCTTTTTGTAATGTCCTCGCACTCAGCATCGAACCTCATTGCGTGGTGGTGGTCTTTGTGGCCCTGGAATGTTATTTGTTGCATCTTTTATATAATTTTTACACATTTTTACACAGTTCCGATATGGTTTTGAAACCTTTCTACCGTTTGCTGATTTTTGAGGAGTCTAATATTAAGGCGCGTTGTTTTGGTACTGCTCACCTTCTTTGCATTTGAGATTCTGGCCCGAATTCTTATGCCAACTAGAAAATGATCTGAATCAATATTTACACCTCGATAGGTGCGGACAGAGACGAGTAAGAATGGGATGGGCAGCGTACGGCAAACTTTCTTACGTTCTGAAAAATCAAACAATCCCTCTATACTTACGAAGCAAGGTATATAACTCCTGCATAATACCGGTGCTCACCTACGGAGCACAGACATGGACATTTACACAGGCCAATTTGGATAGGATAAGGAAGGCACAAAGAGCGATGGAGAGACAAATGTTGGGTGTATCACTTAGAGATAGAAAACGCAAGCAGTGGATCAGAACCAGAACAAAGACAGTAGACGCGATAGAACAAGCAGCAAAACTAAAATGAAAATGGGCTGAACATAATAAACGTCTCCAAGACAGACGATGGAACAATGCCATCGGAAAGTGGCGTCCATACAATGCAAAGAGATCAAGAGGCAGACCATAGATTAGGTGGAAAGATGACATCAGGAAACAAGGAGTTCCCACATGGTAGAGAACAGCTCAAGATAGGGAAAGATGGAGAGAACTGGGGGAGACCTATATCCAACAATGGAAGGATAGAGAATAGGTTCAAAAAAAAGGTGCGGACATCTATAAGGTTGAAAAAGTGTCTAGCATCTATGATCACATCATCAATTTGGTTGTCCATCAGGCGAAATCCAAGTCCCTATATATATATATATATATATATATATATATATATATATATATATATATATATATATATATATATATATATATATATATATATATATATATTTTGTATAGAAAACATGTGCTTCCTGCTTCCTACGATCATGTTCTTAGAGGCTGTGAAGGTGACTGCTCCGTATCCATTCGAATTAGTATTATTATGGAGACTATATTTACTAATGTGCGGTAGATATATTTCTTCCCTACCGATTTTTGCGTTAAGATCACCGACTACTTTTTTAATATCATTTCTTACATCAATAAATATATGAACAAAAATTGTAAACAATATATGACATTCAATATGCAACAATGAATATTGTATACTCGATTTAGAAATGCATGATTTTCATTGTAGAAGATTACAATGGCCTTTTCACGGTAGTAAAAGGAATAAAATTACAAATATCGATAACTTCTTGTCTCAATTTTGTAGAAGAATTTATGAATTATAAAACGATCTTCCTTACAACAACATAAAACTCAAATGATCAGTGTCATTCATAGATTTTTGAAAATACATGGTACCGTTTCTATACCAGACGATTAGAACGGGACTATTCAAAGCAAAAAATATAACAATAAGGATACATTTTTAAATATATGTAAACGTGTTTTACAACTAGTCCAGTCATTAGAGATTTGATCACTAAAAATCATACGAACAAGCTGAATTTTGACGAGAATATCAATTTTGAAACTTTCAAAAAAGTTGCAAACAAGTTTACCAATTTTTTTCCGGGCTTTCCCCTAAAACCTTCCTCTTAGGGAGGAGAAAACTGCATATGAGGCATTTTTAAACTTTTACGTTACAAACAATCGCATATTACGGGAAATTTCTTCAAGAAGACGGTTGTGGATGCAGTTTGGATCAGAAGTTAGGTACTTTTGAAAAACGTACTGGTGTATTTAAAAAATTGCAGTTTTTAACGTTTTAAATCGTTTGTAACGTGAAAGTTTAAATTCAGCGTGTTTAAGTATATTTAAAATGTTTCACATTTGTTGCCAAAACTCAAAACTAAAATTGTATGGTAAAGGTTTTAAAGATTAAGCTCTAGTAATCGAAATATATTGAATTTTTAGCATCGAACAAATTTCATTAAATATTAATTTCGCGGGCTGTTTGACATTAAAATCGAACATCGCTTCAAGCGTTGTTTTTGAGAGAACGGTTCATTCTACACAAAAAATACTAATCAACATTTTTGTTTAAAATTATCTTTAAACTATTTTTTTTAAATAAGCTACTTAAGCTAAATAAGCTTTTAAAAAAGCTACTTTTTAAAATTTTTTTTTCTATAACGTACAGATTTTTTGTAAATCGTTTTTTTTTTTCCTTTGTCTACGAAAGGGGTTTTTAGGACAAAATCCAGAAGTAAAAGTGGTAAATTAAGTTGCGTCTTTTTTGGCATAAAATTTAAATTTTCTGCAATATTTAGCTCATTTTTATTGTTTTTAGAGGTTTAGAGGTATTTTGTTAATTGCTTGCAATGTTTCGTCTATTTTTGGGTACTCTACCGGTAGGTCTACCCCAAGATATATATCCTCTCCATGTTCTTTATCTTGGTGTATATTAAGTAAATTTTTGAAATATTCTTGCCATGTTTGGAGTACTTTTTGTTCGTTGATTATTAATTCATCATTATTTTTCCTCAGTACAGACACGCAGTTAGGTCTGAATCCTCTCTTTTCGTTTGACACAGATTTGTAAAATGCTCGACTATTTGACTGTTGTCTATTTCTTTCCATTTCTTCATACTGCTGTTGTTCGTATTTTCTTTTTTTCTCTCTAATTAGTTTTCTTGTTTCTCGTCGTGATGTTGTATAGTTTTCTTTACTTTCTGTTGTTTCTTGTTGAAGCATAATGTTCCGCTTTTTCTGTCTGTCTTGTAGTTTTTCTTGGCATTTTTTATTAAACCATTTCCTTGTTTTCGTCCTTCTTTTTCCTATTATTAGTTCTGCTGACTCTGTAATTGATTTTTTCATTTGTTGCCACAGCCTTTCGACATCATTGCTCTGGTCTGAAGAAGGCAAAAACTCCAGGCTCTGACAATAAACCAGCCGAATTTCGTAAGTACGGAGGAGAAACTTTACATAGACAATTACACAAACTAATAACACTTATATGGAACGAAGAGAAAATACCAACAAAATGGCACGAAAGTGTAATAATTCCTATCCATAAAAAGGGAGACAAAACCAAGTGCTCTAACTATAGAGGCATCTCCCTACTTAATACGGCGTACAAAATCTTATCGAACATCCTATTAAGTAGACTAACACCTTTTGTAGAAAATTTCATAGGGGAATACCAAGCCGGATTCAGAAAAAATAGATAGACCATAGATCAGATTTTTACTCTCAGGCAGCTGCTTGCAAAAGGATGGGAATTCAATAGAACCATTCATAATCTCTTCATAGATTTCCGACAAGCATACGACAGCATTAAAAGGGATCAGATGTGGAATGCAATGGCAGAACTTTCAGTTCCAAAAAAACTTATCCAGCTCGTTAAAGTTTGTGTAAATGGCTGTAGATCTAGAGTGCGGATAGGTAACAAGCTCTCAGAGTCGTTTGAAATAAACAGTGGACTGAAACAAGGAGACGCGCTCTCACGCGCTCTTCTTTTTAATATAATCCTGGAAAAAGTAGTAAGAACCGCACAAATTGGAACAGAACTACTGACAGTAAATGGACCAAAATTACTACTAGCATACGCGGATGACATTGACATTGTAGGAAACACCGTCACCAATGTAAAAGGAACCTTCAATAAATTAGAGAGAGAGGCAAAAAATACCGGTCTAAGGGTCAATGAAGAGAAAACCAAATATATGTACATTAACAGACAAAAGAGACGAGATAGAATAGGACAAAATGTAACAATAGACCCCTATAACTTTAAACGAGTGGAGAGTTTTAAATATCTCGGAGCGACTATCACCACAGATAACGATATCACGGAAGAGATAAAAGGGAGAATTCAGGCAGCAAACAGATGTATGTATAGCCTCCACAACACTATTAAATCCAAGAGCCTAACACGAACATCAAAAATCAGGGTATATAAAACAGTAATTAGACCGGTGCTCATGTATGGGTGTGAGACGTGGACGCTGACAAAAGCAATGGAAAGTAAACTCAGATGCTTTGAGAAAAAATCCTCAGAATGATCTTCGGTCCCTATCACGATCCGAATACTAACCAATACCAAATGAGAACAAATGCCAAGGTCAAACAAATGTATAGTGCTAGCGACGTAGTCCAAGAGATTAAATCCCAACGTCTAAGATGAGCTGGCCATGTTCATAGGCTCCCTAATAACCGCCTTACCAAGTTAATCTGGGAAGAAGTCCCGACAGGGAGAAGGCCCTTAGGACGTCCACGAATGCGATGGAGAGATAATATATGGTCAGATTTGAGAACAATGGGGCTACCCACTGACTTAAGCATCATGGACGAGATGGAAGCAGGTTGTGTAGTCAGCCAAGACTCACCCCGGGTTGTAGTGCTATCAGAAGAAGAAGAGGTGTTTTGGTCTCTGGAGACTAGAGTAAATAATTGTTGTACAATTCTTCATAAAAATAGTAGGTCCACCCCGAAAAATTACTAAGACAATACATCATAAACTACAAATGAGGTGTGCTATTCAAACTTTCCTAATAATATTTATTATTTTCAAACGGATGATAGATATATTTCTAAGAACAAAAATGGAGAAAAATATTATTATGTAATGTTTGCTAAAATCAGAGAATTTTTTATAAAATTTACTATACACTCCCTCTATCCCTGTTCGTTTGATCCTTCGTACAGATATTGTTGTGTTATCTTATGCAGTTGAAACTCCCTGTCCAAAGTTTCCTAGATTGCGGTTAGTGTGCAGATTCAGTTAGTGATTAGCTAGTAATTGTTTCATTGTAATCCGATTATCTTAGTGAATATCATTTTGCCCGTAACTTCACTCATTATTATTAAGCTTTTCTTGCCGACTATCTTTCTAGACAGGTGAATAAAATATCTTGTGTACTGTTTAACAGTCACGCAATTTTTTAATACTAACCTACGTGTTAAAGTCATTATTGAATCTAATATTTTATTTTTCATGTTACTGGCTGCAGATATAATTTATGCACTTACAGGGTGTAAAATTAGGTTAGTTTCTGTTAGTAATACTTTTCTTAGTGACCACATACATTTTTTGAGCGGAATATATCAGCCAGTGAGAAATAGTTTTGTTTTCCTTCATTATTTTTTTACATTTCTGCTTCATCTGTTAGTCATATATTTAATTTGAGTGCCAGAAATATGAAGCTCTAATTTTATTTCTGTTTGTATTTGTTCCTCTCCGTTTTAGTATATTTGTCTTTTGTAGTTTATTTTAAGTCAAATATCCTTGATCTCTTTTAAATTTTGAATATGTTCCTGTTGCCTTCTCCACTCTACGAGACATTATTAATGTCTTTACGAGGTATGTTAATATAGTCAGCACAAGGTTTGTTAGGTGAACAGTGTTGGAGCCAGTCCAATTTACTTGTATGCAAACTGTCGCTGATATTAAGTTCATTGTAATTTTTACTAGTTAGATATATTCCGAAGGAATGTTGAAACTTAATAAAATGTTAAGTTTCAACTGACTGACTGACTTCCCTTCGATTGATTCACAGGACTGTTTAAAATTAACTATTTAACTTACATATATACTTTAAGTATATTACTATCATTAATTTTTATAGTTTTACTGTAAAGAACTAATATATTATCTACCTCCGATGTCGAAATTTGATTTGATATTCACTCCAAATTCGTTGTTTTGCTCTTTTCCATCATAATATACAAGCCTGTTGTTTTTTCTTTTGCATATTCCGTTTTCTAGCCGTTTAGTTTCGTGTAATTTGGCTGGTTGTAAGTTTATTATTGCAAAAATTTTTCACAATACCAATATATGGCTGTAGTCCAGTCTTTATTACTGAAAAACTATGTCCACATAGAGTTTGATATTTGGGAATAAGTGAATACGGCATTTATCTTGTCAACAGTTTTCTCAGATGGTTTATACTTCAAAATATGTAACACTTATTTAATTAAGACGCCTATATATTTAAGAATCTACACTTAGTTAGTTTTTTATGATTTGTAAATATATGTCTATGATTCGATAAGTAACTTGCCTTACCTCCTGATGTAGCAACTATCTCAAGAGAAATTTACTATTGTGCAGTACATTCTTTTAGAAGACTAGTGTGCAATATTTGCCAAAAAATTAAAAAGAGCAATATCGGAAGGTGATTCGGTTCTTATTTTCATTTTTTCCATTTCATAATTTCCATTTTTATTTTTATTTTTTTATTCTCTTTGATGGCGACCGTCAAAATTGACGCCCAGATGCCTCTAAGACGACTACGAAGGATAACGTGACAAATATCTACGACCTCGTATTGACAGACCGCCGATTGAAGATGCGCGAAATAGCTGAGACTGAGGTATCTCAAAAGACCGTATAAGTCATATCCTGCATGCAATTTTGGACATGAGAGAAAACTATAGGCGTGCTGGTGATTTTAGAGTGGTCTTTGATGCTGTTTAAACGCAAACAAGGAGTTTTAGCTTAGTTTTGTAAACGTCGATGAGACATGGATCCACTGTACGCACTAGAGACCAAGGAACAGTCCAAACACTGAACTTCACCCAAAGAACGTGCTCTGAAGAAAGCGAAAATTGTTTTATTAACCGCAGGGTGATGGCCACTGATTTCTGGGATTTACAGGGTGAGATCTGCATCGACTACTTAAAGAAAAGCAAAATGGGTACAGTGCTCTATTATATCAAATTACTGGAACGACTCGATGCCTAATTGTAAAGAAAACGGTCCTATTTGACTAAAAAATTGCTCTTCAACCATGACAACGCACTGGCTCACACCTCCGACGACATGGCTAAATTAATCGAATAGGTTTAATAACTGCTGCTTCATCTACTGTATTCTCCAGATTTAACACTGCGACTGCTTTTTGTTTTCGAACTTATAAAAATCACTTGCCACTTGCCAGTGAAGAAAGCAAAAGAAATTTGAGTCGCGTAAGGTATTTGCAGACTTCGAGAAAAAGTATTTTTTAGGTAGATTTAAGAAGTTAATGCATCGCTATGAAGCATTGCTGTACTTGAAACAAATAATATGAACAAACAATATTTAAAACAATATGGTGTAAATATGTATATGATGTGTTATTTTCCAAATGGTCGTATGGACTAGACTCATTAGACACATTTTTGGTGGACATCAACTTCAAGAAAGAAGCTATGAAATTTATTATATAAAACGCAAATACCAATTTACTTCTATTTCCAGATGTATTAGACTCAAAGAACGAGTAGAAAAGAACATAATGAAAGGAGAGACAGGTGTGAATTTTGTGACAGTAAAAAAAAAATTAAAAATAAATAAAACAGGTTGTACAAGTTTACAAAATTATATCTGTGCAGTGATCAGGAAAAAAGAATAGGAAGAAAGACAGCTGGACTAACGGAAAAGGTAGAAGAAAAATATGTTGTCTGTTGTATGTAAGGAAAGTCGAAGATATAGCGAATACGTTTGGATTAGACCGTCGTGAGACAGGTTTGTTCTGTTCAACTGATGACTTGTCCTTGCAATAGTAATCTTGTTCAGTACGATAGGAACTGCAGGTTCAGACATTTGTTGAGGCACTTACTGGAGCGGGTAATTGTGTGAAGCTTCCAACCGTGGGATTATGCCTGAACGCCTCTAAGGCCGTATTCTTTCTAGTCAAAGGTGGCTCGAGAGTCGAAAGGCTCAAAACAATGTTGGTTTATTAGGCAATAGTAGTTCGCTACAATTGTCGCACGAGCCCTTATTTTAGTTGAGATTATCGGTTTACGGTGGGATTGATTCTTACCAGTAGACCAGATCTTTAGAACATGAATAATTTATTCTTTTCGATGTTGGAACTCGGAATTACCTGTTTCGATCAGAGGCGAACTTGTGACTCAAACTGTGTGAGTAAGATTGGCTTGGGCTAGAAATGCTTGGTTGAGAGTAATGTCATTCTAGAAGCAATAAATGTTTTCTACTCGCTATTTGAAACGAGGTTAATTTTAATAAAAAACAATATTTAGACGAAAAAAGGGGAAAAGTCTGTGGATAAATAGAGAGAGCGCTTCGGAAATATTGCTCGGTTTTATAGCGGCCATTACGCTTCCAAATCTCTGGATGACAGAAGAAGGTAACTTTTGCGGGACTACGAAGAATGGATCCTGCACGAAGGTCAGTAAGGTGGCGTCCTAGACTGAGATATCTTTCGAAGATTCCAGAACTGCTCTCTGTAAAGAGACATAAAGAAGCGTATCCTATATAGACAGAAAACATACACCAATAAATATTTTAATTAGTATTCAAATTAATATAACACCAATAAAAGGAAATTATCTAGAACATGACCTGAATAAGAAGGAAGACTAATAAAACAGATACAAATTCAATTTACAGACAAAAATTATCTAAAGTAAGACAATGAAATAACTTAAATATACTGCAAAACAAAAATTAAGTAGGCGGAAGAATTACATTAAGAGACGTACAGAAGATTTGTGAAGATCTAATAGGTGGACCACGCTACAAACGTTGAAATATTAAGAGCAGCAAAGAAAGAAATTTAAACGACAGTAAACGCAAGAAAACTGAAATATTTTGGACGTATTATGTGTGAAGAAAAATACTGGTTTTTCGGATCCATTTATCATCCGTTAATCTGGCAACATGTCCGATCCAAGCCCGTTTTAAGTCGTAGCTAATTTTCCCAATTACAAATTTGGTTAGGTAATACCCAACACTGGTCTTTTCATAGCGTGTTGTGTAACTTTGATTTTATTTATTGTTATTTGAGTTAGTGCTTCTGAACTATATGTAAGGAAGGTAATAAACATTGGTTAAAAACCTTTCTTTTTAAACAAACTGGAATATTAGACTTAAAAATGTTCTTCAATCTACCAATAGCAGAACATGTAATATATCCTCTGTATTTCAGTTGTCTGATTATCTTGGCCTAAGGGAATTTCATATCGTACATATTTGTGAGCTATTACTTGGTCGATCCTTTGGCTTTTAATCTTAATATAATCGAAGACTCTAAGGTTGGTCATAAATTTTGTCTTTTGGGCTGTTAATTTTAAGACCAATTATTTTTTATGCTTCATAGAGCGGGTCCAGCCTTTTTGTAGCTTTGTAAATTCTATCAGATATTATAACGATTCCATCGGAAAATTTTATGTAGTTCAGATCCTCTCCATGTATATTAATTCCATATTATCCCTTCATATCATTCGCATAAACATAGATTAGAGTAAAAACTGTAAACAATTTTGGGGAGATAATATGACCCTGTCTAATTCTATGTTCTATTAGCAACTTGATACACTTGGTATCTTCATAAAGTCGGACACAAACTGTACTAGTTTTGTGGATTATTTTAATAAGGACAATATAACGGTAGTCGATATAGCATACACTAGTACTACTGACGATATAGCAATCGTTGTCAGGGTCAGGTTTGCCCAGGTGCTGTGTGAAAGAATGCAAGCAGCCCTAAATATAGTTGTCGACTGGTATAAATAAGAAAGACTGATAGTCAATGCACAGAAAACATAAATCGTCAACT